CCCCAAAACCCCAAAACCCCAAAACCCCAATTATAATAATTGCCTGGTAAAATGAGGATAAGTAATATATAATAAACACCTCATTATATTCATTATTATTATATTTATGAGAATTTTGATAAAGTACTACAGGTAGTATGGTTTAGGAAACCAAGCTACCTAAGGATTCGATGTAGATCCAGAACAACTCGTAATTGATCTGAAAAGAATGATATTCGCTAGAATAGGTTTCGAGGTCAAATATCAGCAACTTTAAGTTATTAATCATGGTGTGCCTGAGACAATGAATGATGAAAATTCATTGAGCTTTTACTAGATAAAGGAAAATGACAAAATCCAATTGGAAAATATGCAGCAGTAAATATCTGAGAGTGAGGTAAACAAATGAAGAATTAACATTTATAAATATAGCAAATCAAGTAAAATGTTCAAAGACTTTCGAGTGCCTAAAACCCAAAATATATGTCTAAACTAGGCATTGTTTAGATGAAGGACAACATCAATTACAATTTCCAAAACTCTAAAACAGGCTAGAACAGAGACAAACTTGTTGTAGATGAGCTTTGTAATGTCATTCTGAAGGGTTGCACCTTATCAGAGTTTAAAAAAGCTATTATAGAACTCTTATCAACTGAAGAAGAAGAGAAAAAATAAGATGACATCCTGGCAGCCATAGACAAAGAAGATTTTGACTTTTCCTTGATAGGTACGAAGGGATGGAGCATTATACACAAAGCTTGCTCTGCTGGTAATCAAGAAATTGTAGAGTATCTACTTTAGAAAAAGTAAAATTCTATTAGAAATTAAAATTTATATTATAGGAAGGTCAATCCTAATATTCAAGGATTATAAAATTGGACCCCAATAGAAATTTCAGTTTAAATGGGGTTCTTCTAGATAGTCAATATGCTCTTAGAGGATAATAGAATTAAGATTAATTATGTCAGCTCGGATGATAGAGGAACTGCCTTACATATGGCTGCAAAGAGTAACTATCTTCCAATCTGCCAAATATTACTATTGAAGGGCATTGATTTCAATATTAAAGATAAAGATGGTTTAGTTGCTAAGCAGGTTACTACAAATCCCTAAATAAAAAATCTTATAGAAAAGTATGAATAATAACAAGACACAATCCACTAAGTAATATAATTTGATGAAATTAAGGAAGAAGATGAGGAAGATGATAACTATGATATGAGGGGAGCTCATGCAACCTACAGACCAAGTCCTAAAAATAGGGAACTAAGTCCTTCTCATGGATCATAAGACGGTGATGCTTTTCTAAACACTTCAATGACTAATGCTTCCCCAACTAATCATGTCTCCTCTCCATTAGGAAATGCTGATTTATTATTTGGTAAAATGGACCATAAAGAAAACAAAAAGGAAAGACCAATGACCAGATTTATCAAAGCTTTCAACTAAAAATAGCATATTTCTCCTAAATCTAGCATGGCAACAGAATAATCTCATGCACCTAACTCCCCAAAGCCAAATGAATATATAATAGTCTAGCCAAAATTAATAAATCTTAGAGAACTAATTATCACTTAAGTCAATTCTTTGGAATAAGTTGAGTAGCTTATCACACTTTTGAAGTAACTACCAAATCCATATGAGAGTCTTTTTCCATTAAAGAAGGTGAAAGGTAAACTATATAAAGTCCATAGACTTCGGTTAAATAGCTATTCTAGATATATCTACATCAATCCTATTGAAGGTGTGCTGATTTCATATAACTAATCCAATAAATTTCCACTATCTCCAAATTATATCATGAAACTTAATGAGATAACCGAGCTAAGAATACTTTAAGATCATGGATGGTACTAAAAGAAAAATAACTATTACTTTCAAGTAAAAACATCACAAAGAACTTCAATATTTTACATGAATAACTTAGATGTTATTCAATTTTGGATCAATGAGATTCATGAGTCCAAGCAGTTCTATGGATGGCTTCAGTAAATCATAGATCTTAGATATTCCTAATCTTGTAATAAATTTGACTGCGATCATGAAGAAAATCAAAATTATCTAGATAAGGCAGATGAGTTGATTAATATGATTTTAAACATTGCGATACCAGAAGTAGATATGGATTAGTATCATATCGGTTTAAATATCTCTGCACAGGAGTATGCAAAGAGAAAGGCTTATGAATACAAGCAGATGAGATAAAGCATCTCAGGGGCAAGTTCTTCTTCGCAATAAAACACACATGATGTTCTAAAAAGTCCATCAATGGGTGATTTATCTGATGATGGAACCTAGATATCTTCTGGAATTCAGAGATCAAAGACAGCAACAAAATCTGCAGTAAACCAAAAGAATGAGATTATTTACAAATTCGATTCTAATGATAAACAGTCTTAAAATCCAAATCGCTAACTCTAAAAGCAGATTGATGATATGATGGAGCTTTAGAGAGAGTAAAATTTAGAAACATAGACAAATACTACTGATAATAGAACAAGTTTTGATGATGGTGAAAGGAGAGCAATGACTACAACTAATAGATAAATACTCTCAAAGTCAACAACTGTCATGCCCTAAGCCAAGCAGGGAAAACTTTTAGATGATGGTGATAATGGAATAGGGTATAATTCTTTCTAATTGATAGAAATTCTTGGCTAAGGTACCTTTGGTAAGGTATTTAAGGTAAAGCCCAAAGAAGACCCAGATTCAGAGGAATATGCAATGAAAGTCCTAAAAAAGGCATTTTTAGTTAAGAATAATCATCTAAGATACGCGATAACTGAAGCAAATATTCTTAAACTCTCTAACCATCCATTTGTAATTAAGCTTCACTATTCTTTCTAAACTCCTGAAAATTTATACATGATTCTTGATTACTGCCCAGGCGGTGATTTAGCCTTCCATTTGAACAAGAGATAGATCTTTGATGAAAGTGAGGCTAAGTTCTTCATTGCAGAAGTAATTTTGGCTATGGAGTACATTCACTCATTGAATATCATATACAGAGATCTTAAGCCAGAAAACATTTTGATTGATAAGGATGGTCATGTTAAGTTGGCTGATTTTGGTCTAGCTAAAGAGGGCGTTAATGACAAGTAAAATGCTAAATCTTTTTGTGGTAGTCCAGCTTACTTAGCCCCTGAAATGCTTTAGAATAAAGGAGTTGGAAAAGCTGCTGATATTTATCAAATAGGCGCAGTGCTTTATGAACTATTGGTTGGATTCCCACCTTACTACACTGAGAACATCAAAAAGCTATATGAAAATATCAAAGCTGCTAAGTTACAGCTTCCAACCTATATCTCTCCATCGGCTAAAGATCTCCTTTAGAAATTACTGAATAAAAATCCTAAGTAGAGGATAGGCGTTGTTGATAAGGCTGAAATCAAAAGACACCCATTTTTCAAAGGAATTGATTGGAAAAAACTAGAAAATAAAGAGTTAGACCCACCAATGATTATGACAATGGATGAGGAAGGTGAGAATGAAGAATTAAATTATCTAAAACAAATTGAGAAGAACAAATTCAGAGACGTAGATTATAAAAAGGATAATCAAACTCTTAACAGAGTAAAGCAATTTACTTTCATCAGAAATTGAAATATAGAAATTGAAAAAAACCTTTCTATAGTATCTGAAGTAAGTATGATAAATCTATCATGACTATAAATCAAATTTATTGAAATAAGAAATATTATTTACCATTCTAAAAATTAATTTGATACTGTCTAACGGGGTTTTGGGGTTTTGGGGTTTTGGGG